TATATTTACAATATCTAAGTATTGTAAAAACAAAAATGACGTGCTATAATTGCGAAATCCTTATCGAAATAAAATGACATTTAATGTGTAACAATAAAAAATTATTAATTTAAGTTATAATTGACACAGGCTATATTCCCGATGTTCTTGTCGGAAGATCAAGAATATTAGAAGTATCGCTGGGTTTCTTTTGTTCCATATTATCGGTGGCATTTGAAGCTTTGCTATTCATTTATATAACAAAAAGAATTGACATTATACCGCCGTTCAATTAATCTGGAATCTCTAGTGACCGATACTTCATACGACATTGTCATTTTGAAAGGTTCTATTTTCAATAACGCGTTTAAGATATTAATGAAAAACGTTTGACATATTTTATTTTGTGTATATTAGAGAGATTAATTTATAATTTATTAATACTCAAATTACATCGAATGCATGTGTAGATATTGGCTATTTAAAAAATGTATAAGTAAATCCTGGCAAAGCTTTATGTACTGTAAATATACGACAAAACGATTCGTCGTTACACCAACAGTCGAAGAAATGTTTGAATTGGCATGTGCAAGAGGTAAAAAAAAGTATCCCCCCCCCCCCCCCGTACTCCAACGTAAAGACGAGCATAAAGTGAGAGACCAAATTGGATGTGAAGTGATCCCAGTTGGACAATCTTACTTCGATATGTGAGTAGCTTCTGGCATATTGTGAAGAATTTTAAGTACAAACGGACCATCGACCTCGGGTAAAAAGAGATTATAATACCATTGTATATAATGCTAACGTGCTATGTGAACAAGTAATTTTTATGTATACAGGATACTCAGATTAAAAAAAGTTGATTGTGGGATGGGTTAGTAGATCGTTGGTGGACGGAAAAAAGTGAACGTCGTCATAATGCCAACGTAGAAGCAATTGTGATAGATTAAGTTTCTTTAGTAATTTTAAGGTGGTTCGTGCATTTAGGTCAAATGTAGTTAGCCCGGAAAATGTGATATGAAATGAAAGATTAACGTTCCTAGAGTGTGTCTGTAAAATTTCGGATTTTTTAACCGTTTGGTTCCGGAGATATATGTCCGTAAACTTTGCCAATTAATTTAACGCGGGGGGGGTAGCCCCTCTTGCGAAAAACGAGGCTAAAGCGCGTATGCTGCAAAAATTACAATACTTCAAAAATAGATGAACGAACCAAAAACTGACGAAACAATGCAATAAACATTTTGCAAGATACTGGACGAAGCCCGAGTTCATTGACCGTATAATAATAAAACGTAATTTTCGATTGACTAAATCGACAACACGGAACTGACAGCTGGACTCGAGCGGCATTAGCGGCAGCTTGGCAACGCATGTGTCAGCTGATGAGTATAGCGCATATCCCAAAACATTCAACGTTTACCATGTTCTGGACGCTGAATAAAGCAAAGAGTGAAACAAAAATTTTCGTCCATTTCTAAAAAGAATTAAAATTAAGTTTGATCAAGATCTGCAATACTGAATAATGAATAAACAAGTTTTAATACATTGAGGTTATAAAATGTCCAAATAATTTTAACATGCATTGTTTATTCTATTTATCATAACGTTAATTGCCGCGCTGCTGTTGTACATATATTCACACGGCTCACAACACTAGTAAAAGATGTGACTTTCGTCTCAATATTTTAATTACGTAGAGGTCGTATATAACATTAAATATGACATAAATAATAAATGTAATTATATGCTGATTTTTACGGACAAAATTCACACTTATTTATCACTAATAAGAATAGTTGCCTATTTGACTTGCAAGTACTGCATGAACCACGTTAATGATTTGCTGTGGAATGATAACAAACAGCTCTTATTACTTTCATAATTGAAAAAATTGTATATGCTTATCAACGCAGGCTATCGTAACTTTTCACTAATGCTATCACAAATATTTTACTTAATTTTACCTTATTTGCTCAAAAGATTTATCTGCCAGCAGTCATTTAACTCATGTTTAAAAATTTTATTACATTTATACCATACATAAATGTGTAAACCACAATTAATCCTGTAAGAATTAAAAAATTGCAGTAAATAATAAAATTATTAATCAAACATGATTATGTATGAGTGTCACTAGAATCATTTTCTCTTATATGCTTTTATTTATCTTAATTACGTTATTTAATATTCTGTGAGTTATATAACTTATTGTTAGATTTAAGTGGATAATATTAAAAAGAAAAGATATATTATAAATTATATAACTTGCAGACTTACTTAATATAGTAGAATAAACAAACTTATCAAAAAATTGCCGATATGATTATATACTCATCAAACTTTATAACAAAACGGACATTTTACAATATGTTTCTGAAGATACTCGGTCAAAAAACAATTGTAAAAGATTACAGTACACTGGACAATTATTTTATATGATTTACGTCATTTGCGGAAATATAAATGGTATATGATTAAATAGTTTTTTGGTTGACAGATTTATTGTAAAAAGTAAGACATGGTTTAGATGACCCCGTGTTAATTAGAATTATTAGCGAATTAGATGAATACGATTACATTGCATGATATCCATTAGCTGACAAAAGGCCAACATAACTAATCTATGTACGTGCTATCGATCCTCGACAATAACGTAATGTCTGTCCATTACATGATACCGATCCATTACAGAAAATAATAAATAAATAGCATTTTGCGATATGCGTATAAATATCGTGGAAAACTGCAATCTAATATATTTTTATTCGTCTGTATTCTACATAGAATCCACATTGACGTGAAATTAGTTCAACGAAAAAGAAATTCGCAAGGGATGGCTACGCGATTTGTTCTAACGGTCGCGATTTTTTATCTCATGATATGGGATTGTTACGCCGTGTCCGGGGTAATTTGGCATAAGCAACAGCAGAAATTCGTGCAGTTGTTCAGTATCCCGGAATTCGCCGCTCTTCATCAAGAAATTCTGGCTAAACACCGGGCAACAGAGAAGCCTGACATGAGCGGAGAAGTGGTGAAAGCTGTGTATTACGAGGTGCGTACACGTGGGTCTGAAAAGATCAACGTACAGTTTTTCTTCCGCAAGATGTCGCAAAAACTTCTCACAGAGCTTAATGGCAAATTTTTGACAACCCTCCGTGTTGATCCAATTTATTAGACTAGCTTATAAGAACTATTAAAATCATTAAACAACGATCATGATAATTTCTTATGCTTATAGGAAAAAAATATAGTAATGTTTTACGACAACGATACGAAAGTTAACGGTGTTTGCGGCGACCTGTGGCATGTTCTCGCGGAATATCTCAATTTTACGTATGTTACGACAACATTTTTTATCGTAATATCGCATATATGTTTGAAATTTTACACTGTGCACTATTATTCAGTTCGTGCGCGAATGGAGTTTGCAAAGTATTACGTTCCTCAGATTCATCCCGATAAGAGTCACCAATCGAAATTTCGGTGAAAGACTGGAAAACGGTAGTCAGAATGGTTTAGTTGGCATGCTCGCGCGGAATGAAGCGCAGGTAATTATGAGAAGTGGATTCTATCCGTCTCGCTTCGACATCGTGGATTTTACAACGCCTCTTTGGAGAAGCAGGTAAGTTGGTATAGTCTTACTAATAAATTACGATCAAGAAACTGGCTCATCCGTGACTAATTTCAAAATTATTAGTCGAGAGTATAGTTCCCTTCCTGCTGTTGGCAAAAATCAGAAACAGGCCTTGAATTCTTTTACTTGCAATATATAATAATTATTAATAAATTGATGTTTTAGGTTTCACATTTATGTTCGACCGAAATGGCAGTTCAATAATACATGGGTATTTACGTTATTTTCGTGGCAAATGTGGTTTTATATACTGTTTCTGTTCATCATCTTAAGTTGTGTCGGTTATTTTCTGCAAAAAGTACCGACAGACAAGCCCAAACGCAAAAGAAAAGGCTCCGTGGATTTCAGTCTAGGCGATCATTTTTTCTATTCACTCGCCATAATGAGCACGCAAGGTGCATACTTAATACAATCAAAGAAGAAATTAAGTAAAACCGCGTTTATAAATAATTAACAAAAAATTGTCAGCTTATTTTCAGTAAAATAAAGTAAAAAAATTTTTTTGTTTTTATAGATTAAAACGTTAATTAAGCATTCCACAATTAAAGTTACGATAAGATAAAATAATCTGCGATTTTTTATAGGCTACGTACCCGACGCTTTTTACAACAAGTTCAAGATCTTGTCGCTGTCGAAGAGTATATTCGCATGGCTGATATTGTTAGCCTTTAGTTCACAACTCATATATCGCATGACAAATAGAAATTTGACGCTAGCATTTAAGGATGTAGAATCTCTCATTAACAATACAAAATACACCTTATTGGCGTTCCGTAGCACCTTCCTCTACAATTCTCTTAATGTAAGCGTCGAAGATTACTTATATCACAGTAGTATTTCAGCGATTTATATTTCGCACTAAAATCATGATAAAGTTTCCTTCCGTAATTTAGAACAGCACTTTTATCTTCAAAGCAAAGTAAAGAAAAGATAATATTGAGAATTCGATTGTTCTTAATTACTTTGTATTATACAACTTTGTAACTTGAAACAACTTTTACGAAACATAAATGGTATATACAATAATTTGTGACTTACTATTTTAGCATAAATATCGAGGATTGATTGGCAAACA